AAGGTGCCAATAGCTAAAATCAAAAATTTTTAAATGGGGACATAACTCTGACAGAAATTATAAAGAATTATAAGAGGATAGTATGAACAATTGTATGCCAACAAATTAGATAGCCTAAATGAAATGAAAAATTTTCCATAAACGCACAAATTAATTAAACTGATTTTTTGTTTTTTTTAGTTGGCGTCTCACCCTGTTGTCTAGGCTGGAGTTCAGTGGCACACTCACAGCCACCGCAGCCTCGACCTGCTGGGCTCAGGCCATCTTTCCGCCTCAGCCTGGAACTACAGGCATGCGCTACCATGCCCAGCTTATTTTTTTATTTATTGTAGAGACGAAGTCTCTCCAAGTTGCCCAGGCTGGTCTTGAATCCCTGAGCTCAGGAAATTCTCTTGCCTCGGCCTTCCAAAGTGCTGGGATTATAGGCTTGAGTCACCACACCTGGCTTACCTAAACTGATTGAAACAGGAAACAGAAAATCTCCACAGACCTACAACAAGTAAAAAGATTGAATTATTAACCACCCCCCCCAAAAAAAGCCCAGGACCAGATGGATTTACTGGTGAATTTAAACGTTTAAAGAAGAATTAACACAAAACCTTCTTAAGCTCTTTCAAAAATTGGAGGATGAAACACTTCCTAACTCATTCTATGAGGCCAGCATTACTCTGATACCAAACCCATATAAGCCATCTAAAGAAAAGAAAATTGATGATCAACATACCTTATGGATATAGATGCAAAAATCCTCAACAAAATACTAGTCAACTGAATCTAACAGTATATTTAAAGGATTATGCACTATGGTCAAGTGGGATTTATCCCAGGAATGTAAAGATAGTTCAACATAAAAAATAATCCATCAATATAATATATCACATTAACAAGATAAAGGGAAAAAGCACATAATCTCAATTAACACAAAAAAGGCTCTGACAAAATCCAACATCATTCCATGATAAAACACTCAGAAAACTGGGAATCGAAGGGAATCTCCTCACTATGATACAGAGCATTTATAAAAAAAAACAACCCACAGTTAGCATCATACTCACTGGTAAAAGACTGAAAGGTTTCCCCCCAAGATCAGGAACAAGACAGGATGACTATTTCACCACTCCTATTTAAGATTGTACTGGAATTCTAGCCAGAGTTATTAGACATGAAAAAATAAAAAATAAAAGCCATCAAAATTGGAAAGGAAGAAGTAAAATTATCTCTATTCACAGATGACACGATTCTCTCCCAAAGAATTCACAAGAAAGCTACCAGCGCTTTTAGTAAAGAAGTCAGTCAAGTTTCAGGGAATAAAAGCAACACATGAAAAGTATATGTGTTTCTATACAACAGCAGTGAACAGTCTGAAAAGGAAATTAAGAAACCCATTTCATTTAAGATGGCATTCAAAAGAATAAAATACCTAGGAAACAATGTAACTATGGAGGGAAAAGATTTGTACAATGATAGCTATAAAACATTGTTGAAAGAATTAAAGAAGACCTCAATAAATGGAAAGATGCCCCATATTCGTGGGTTAGAAGACTTAATACTGTTAAGATGGCAATACTATCCAAAGTAATCTACAGATTCAATACATTCCTTATCAAAATTCCAATAGTCTTTTTTCCAGAAATGAAAGGGCTGATCATATTCAATGGATTGTAGGGGCCCAGAACAGCCAAAACAATCTCAAAGAAGAACAAAGTTGGAGGATTCATGATTTTTAATTTTAAAACTTACTACAGGCTGGGCATGGTGGCACATGCCTATAATCCCAGCACTTGGGGAGGCCAAGGTGAGAGTATTGCCTGAGCCCATGAGTTTGAGACCAGCCTGGGCAACTTGGCAAGACCTCATCTCTACAATAAATCAAAAAATTAACCAGGCATGGTGGCACGTGCCTGTGGTTCCAGCTACTTGGAAGGGTGACCATGAGCGTGCCACTGCACTCCAGCCTGGGTGACTCAAACTCACTCCAACTCAAAAAAAAAAAGGCAAATGGAAAAATATATTGTTTTGGCATGCATATATAGATAAAATAATAATGCATAACGATTATTAAATGCTCATAATAAGAAAAACACACACAAGGCTACAAGTTGATGCCCAGGTCTTGGGAAAGCAACTCTGTAGCTAGTGGAGGACTTTGGGTAGCCATACAGTGTTTGCAGAGCTTCCTGTGGGCTGGTGCAGTATGAATAATTACATGGACCATGTCAAAAGTACTCAGGATGGAATGACGTGCTTCCTAGCCCCTCGCTGTCATTTTGCTCACACATAGCATGGAGGACCGCACTTAGTGTTGCCCCAAGGGAAGCCACACTTGGCCCCATCCTGTAGGCTTACCCACAGCCAGGAAGAAGAGTTGCCCATAGAAGGACACTTTATCCTCAGAGGTATTTAACCCAGTTGTCATCAGATTTTCTGGCCTTCTGAAGTCACTCTGTAGGATCCAAATAAAATAGCAAGAGGCACCCTCCCAAACTGTGGGGTGTCCACCCAGGGCCCTCCCTCATTGCCTGTGGCTCTGGGGCATTCACGTTCTCTTGGTCCCTTCCCCACAACTCTGCTACTGCTGGGCTGGACATAATGCTGCCTCTCTGGTCCACAAGTGCTACCGCAGACTGCTTCCCTCAGCATGGAATGGGACACCTGGGCCTCAGTTTCCCAAAGCACCTCTTCTCAGACTTTCTACTGAAAGGTGGGAGGTAGAGGTATATGATGGCACAAAGCAGGAGATAAACGCATATCCAAGGGTAAAAACCCATCAGCCAGTCCTCCCTCAGGGACCTCTTCCTGGCCTCTCCCCAACCTGGCTTAAACTCCCTCAGTGTTGCAAGACCCCTGATCACCTGAGATTCCTTCCCAGGGCCTGTTAAATATTCAGAACTTCTGCAAGCAGGTTTTTAAGCCATTCAGTCATGATGGGAATATTTATATTATAAATATCAGCAAACACTATAAACCAGGGAGTTTCATTTCACCATAGTAGGACACTACGCCAAGGACAATGGCGAGCACTGCAAATCGGGGAGTTTCATTTCACCGTAGTGGGACTATTTACACCAAGGACATTGGCAAGCACTGCAAATCAAGGAGTTTCATTTCACCATTGTGGGATAATTTGCACCATGAACATTGACAAACACTGCAAATCAGGAATTTTTGCTTCTCCATCGTGAGAATATTTACACCATGAACACTAGCAAACCTGCAAATCGGGAGTTTAATTTCACCATAGTGGGAATATTTCCACCATGGACATTGGCAAATACTGCAAATCAGGAATTTTCATTTCTCCATAGTGAGAATATTTATAACATGGACATTAGCAAACACTGAAAATCAGGGAGTTTCATTTTGCCATAGTGGGACTATTTGCACCATGGACACTGGCAAACACTGCACACCAGGGACAGCTATTTGGAGAGCTAGTTCACCAGCACATTACTGCCCTCACTTTCTTGCCCATCACTTGTGGACACTCAGCCGCCCTCTCACTTTCCAGGTAGAGGCCAGCAGCTCTCTCTTGTCTCTGCATCCGCCAAGCTAGATTAGCCCAGGGGCTCTAGGGCTCTGAACCAACAAGATTGTAGAATGTTTTGTTCTTAAACTTTAAAATAATCCACTTCCAAAAAGTACCTCTTCCAACCTCCTAGAAAAACTCCTCTGAACTCTAAACTGCAGTCTCCTTTCACAAATGTTTTTCCACCTTCCTACCTGTAAATAAACCCAAATGCTCCCTTCTTACATGGAAATAACTCTTGTTCTGAGCCAACCCATGCCCTCCAAGCACACACCATATATTTCCATGTAAATTTCACACCACCATCCTACTCTGCCTTGCTCTTCTGATGGAATCTGGATTTCTCAGACTTTCTATGTCTCTTTGCTCTCTGGGGCAGCAGAGGATGATGGTTGAGAGCATGAACCACCAGGGCGCACACCAGGTTCTTCTGCTTGCTACTGTGAGCTTATGTACAAATTCTTTTTTTTTATTTTAATTTTTATTATAAAGATGTGGGGTACCTTTCGGGTTTAGGTATACAAATTGCACCTCAGATTCCCTGGCTATAGAGTGAAGTAATACTAGCACCTACTTTACAAGGTTGTTGTAAGGGTTAATGAGCTAATGCTTACAAAACTTGCTCAGCATAGTTTGCATCCTGACACATGGCAAGACCCATGGCATAAGTGTTTGCAGAAAAAATAAAAATAAATTCAGCTCCCAAGCCATTCCCTGTTCTATAGATCCAGGAGAAAATTTTCATCCCAAAATAAAGAGATTATAAAAGAAGAAAAAGGGCTAGGTGCAGTGGCTCATGCCTATAATCCCAGCACTTTAGGAGGCCGAGGTGAGAGGATTGCCTGAGCTCACAGGTTGAAGACCAGCCTGGGCAACATAGTGAGACCTCATCTCTACAACAAATTAAAAAATTAGCCAAGCATGGTGGCACGTGCTTGTAGTTCCAGCTACTTGGAAGGCTGAAGTGGAAGGATCACCTGATCCAAGCAGGTAGAGGCTGCAGTGGCCGTGAGCATGCCACTGCCCTCCAGTCTGGGCGGCAGAGTAAGGCACCAACTCAAAAAAAATAATAATAAAGCAGAAAAGAAATATGCTGCTGATTCAGCTGAGTGTTGAGAAATGAGTCAGAAATAACAATAAGAAGTCAAAATAAATAAATAAATAGATGCCCGGAGAGTAGCAGTCAGGGCTACTGACCTTCCTGGGGTCCACACAGGGGCCTGACTCAGCTCACCTGATGAATCCCCTGCACCCCCCAGCCCCACAGACCAACCAGCTCTGACCTCCTGGGAGTTTTACGAGCCAAGCTACCTGATGTCCAAGGCAAGCTTCCTCAGGGAACCCTATAAACAACAACAAGGAAAGAGGTGCTGGAGCCTGGTGCTGCACAACACATGCCTGAGGGGTGTTTAAGCTCAGCCACCAGGTGCTCACTCCCTCAGTGCCCCGGGTCACCTCTCACCCACCACCCAGCATGACTGCATCCACTGTGTCCTGCAGCAGCTGGGTCTGCCTGCCTGGGTCCTGTTACTCTGGCTCTGATTCCTGGCAGGTGGACGACTGCCCAGAGAGCTGCTGCAAGCCCCCCTGCTGCACCTCCAGTTACTGTGCCCCAGCGCCCTGCTTGAGTCTGGTCTGCACCCCAGTGAACTGTGCATCCAGCCCCTGCCAGTCAGTCTGCACCAGCTCCTGCACACCCTTGTGCTGCCAGCAGTCTAGCTGCCAGCCGGCTTGCTGTCCCTCCTCCCCCTGCCTGCAGGCTTGCTGTGTGCCTATCTGCTGCAAGCCTGTGTGCTGCGAGCTGGTCTGCTTCAAACCTGTGTGCTCTGAAGTTTCTTCATGCTGCCAGCAGTCTAGCTGCCAACCCTCTTGCTGCACCTCCTCCCCCTGTCAGCAGCCCTACTGTGTGCCCGTCTGCTGCAAGCCCATCTGCTGTGTGCCCACCTGCTCTGGGGCTTCTTCGTGCTGCCAGCAGTCTAGCTGCCAGCCGACTTGCTGCCCCTCCTCTTGCTGCAGACCCTCCTCCTGCGTGTCCCTCCTCTGCCGCCCCATATGCAGACCCGCCTGCTGCGTGCCCGTTCCCTCCTGCTGTGCCCCCGCCTCCTCCTGTCAGCCCAGCTGCTGCCGCCCGGCCTCCTACATGTCCCTCCTCTGCAGCACCATGTGCTCCTACCAGGCCTGCTGAGGCCACTCCACAGAAGCCCCACTGCTGACAGCTCTGTCTCCGTCTCATCAGCCTGTGTCTTGGCTCCTGGACAGGCCTCCACTCTCAGCAGCCTTTGGAGGCCTCAGATCCACCCTCTCTCCATGTATGGCTGCACGTGGCAGTCTGAAGGCACTGTAACATGCCACCCCCCCAAGAGGTGACCCACAAGTCCCCTAGCAGGTGCCCTGGTTGCATCCTATGTGAAAGACCGATTACCATAATCAATAAATCATTTGTTTGTGCCAGAACATGTGGGCTGGTGAACTGGCTCTCCAAATGTGCATTTGGGCTCCTCCCTGGCCCCGTGACCACCACAGATCTTCCACCACCCTGTGGAAGCCAGACCATGCAGGCATGTCCTCAGATTCTGAGTTCAAAGCACATGAGAGGCAACTGGATTCAAAGGCACACACCATCCACCTGTCGCCTCCCAGCCACAGGGATGGGCCTCCACACTGGACAGGGAGACCGCAGGGCGGTGAGGCGAGGGTTCCGAGCAAATTGCTGACCAGTCCCCATAGGAGGTCATGGGGCAGGCAAAGCCTCCAGGCCCTTGTTGCCATCCCCAGCCTCCCTGCAGAAGGAGACTGTGGCTGGTGGAGTGACCCACCATGGCCGTGCAAGCCACATCGGAGGTGGGGATGGGGGTGGGGAAGAGGCAGAAACTTATGGGGCAGGTGAAGCCCCTGGAAAGGACAGTGTGCAGATGAGCCATGGGCCCCAAAGGTGTCCTCACCCTGATCCCTTGAACGTGTGTATGTGACCTTACAGGGAGAAGGTGGACTTTGCAGGTTGAACTTCAAGTGATTAAGTCTAACATCTTTTTTTAATTGACAAATATTAATTGCACATATTTATGAGATACACAGTGGTGTTTCCATGCATATAATGTATACTGATCCAATCCATATTTATGGATTTATGAGCATATCCATATTTATCCTCTCAAACACTTACCACTTCTGTGTTGGGAATGTCTAATATCCTCCCTCCAGCTGCTTGAAACCATATATATTTTGTTTTGTTTTGTTTTGTTTTTGAATTGGAGTCTCACTCTGTCGCCCAGAATGGAGTTCGGTGGCCGCTCCCAGTCACCGCAGCCTTGACCTGCTGGGGTCCGGCGATCCTTCTGCCTCAGCCTTCCCAGTAGCCGGAATTACAGGCATGCGCTACCACGCCCGGCTGATTTTTTGATTTACTGTAGAGATGAGGTCTCACTGCCCAGGCGGGTCTCGAACCCGCGGGCTCAGGCAATCCACCCACCTCAGCCTCCCAAAGGCGCGAGATTACAGGCTGAGCCACCGAGCCCAGCTTTATATTTTTGTTTGTTTGTTTGTTTGTTTGTTTTAAGTCAGAGTCTCCCTCTGCTGCCCAGGCTGGAGTACAGTGACACAATCATGATTCGCACAGCCCCAAACTCCTGGGCTCAAGTGATCCTCCCACCCCAGCCTCCTGAGTAACTGGGACTACGGGCATGACACCATGCTTGGCTCATTTTTTAAAATTGTTTTGTAGAGACAAGGTCTAACTATGTTGCCTAAGCTGGTCTCAAACCCCTGGACTCAAGAAATCCTTTCTAGCTGGGTGCAGTGGCTCACACCTATAATCCCAGCACTTCGGGAGGCCGAGGTGAAAGGATTGCCTGAGCCCACACATTTGAGACCAGCCTGGGCAACTTGACAAGACCTTGTCTCTACAATAAATCAAAAAAATTAGCCAGGCGTGGTGGCATGCACCAGTGGTTCTGGCTAATGGAAGGCTGAGGTGGAAAGATTGCCTGAGCCCAGCAGGTCAAGGCTGCAGTGACCGGGAGCGTGCCACTGCACTCCAGCCTGGACAACCGAGTGAGACTCCAACTAAAAAAAAAAAAAAAAAAATCCTCTTACCTAAGACTCCCAAAGTGATGGGATTACAGGCATGAGCCCATATAATATATTATCAACCTTAATTATCCTGCAATGCGGTAGAACACTAGCACCAAGCTGCCCAACTGTCACTCCGTAAACTTCAACAAATCTCTCCCTACCCCCACCCCTTCCCAGCCCTGGTATTCTCTGTTCTACTTCTCACTTTTATTAAGTCATTTATTGTTTTTTTTTGTTTGTTTGTTTGTTTGTTTGTCTGTTTGTTTGTTTTAGTTGGAGTCTCACTCTGTCACCCAGGCCGGAGTGCAGTGGCATACTCACAGTCACCACAGCCTCGACCTGCTGGGCTCAGGTGCTCCTTCAGCCTCAGCCTTCCAAGTAGCTGGAATCACAGATGTGTGCCACCATACCCCACTCATTTTTTAAATTTATTGTAGAGATAAGGTCTTGCCAAGTTGCCCAGGCTGGTCTCAAACCCGTGGGCTCAAGCAATCCTCTCACTTCGGCCTCCCAAAGTGCTTGGATTATAGGCGTGAAGCCACTGCGTCCGACCAAGTCATTTCTTAATGGCCACACCTAAGTGAGTTAAGAATCTTGAGACGTAGGACCATCCTGCATCCAGGCGGGCCCCAAACACCATCACAAAGATCCTCTTAAGAGGGGGACAGAGAGAAATTTCACCCCAAAAGGAGAAGAGGACAATGTGATCACAGAAGCAGAGACTGAAGTGACTTGGCCACAAGCCAAGCAGCAACCCCAGAAGCCAGAAGAGGCAAAAAGGACCCTCGCCCAGCACCTCTGGTGGGTGTGCAAGTACGTGGACACCCAGCTCTGTGTTCAGTACGTCCAGCCAGACAAGTTGGTCTCCAGAGCTGTAACAAAATCTGTCTCCACTATCTTAAACCCTTGGGCTTGTGGTGATCTGCTGTAGCAGCCACAGGAAACTACAGCAAGTCCCCTACATACAAGCAAGTCCCATTCCAAGAGCACATTTGTAAATCCAATTTGTTTATAAGTCCAACAAAGTAAGTCTAGGTACCCAACTAGCACGACTGGCTATACAGTATTGTATTATAATTGGTTTATAATACTGTTTACATAAGTAATACATTTAAAAAACACAAAAAATAAAGATAACATGTTTAATCTTAAAGTACAATATTTTATACACACATGGCAATGAACATCAGACACGTGAAATAACTTACATGATTGGACCTGCGAACGCATATTTGCATCTTTGAAAGTTCACAACTTGAAAGTTTATATGTAGGTGAATTGCTGTAACACAAGCTATGTCTGATAAACATAATATGTCTGTCCATTTTGCATTGCTATCAAAGGATATCTGAGGCTGGGGGGTTATAAAGAAAAGAGGCTTGTTGGTTCACAGTTCTGTGTGTCACTGGCCTCTGCTCAGCTTTTACTTGTGGTAGAAGGCAGACAGAGAGCAAGGGTGTCACATCGGGTGGGGAGGGGGAGAGAGAGAGAGAAGGAAAGAGAAAGAGATAGAGAGAGAGAGAAGGAGAGAGAGAGCCACAGAGAGAGGTAGAGATAGAGAAGAGAGAGAGAGGAGAGAGCAAGCTAGAGAGAGAGAGAGGTAGAGGAGAGTTATAGAGAGAGTTACACAGAGAGAGAGAAGGAGAGAGAGAGAACTACAAAGAGAGAGGTAGAGAGAGAGAAGGACAGAGCTAGAGGGAGAAAAAGGAGAGAGTTAGATATAGTTATAGATATAGATATAGATATAGGTATAGGTATAGATATAGATATAGATATAGATATAGATATAGATATAGATATAGATATAGATATAGATATAGATATAGAAAGAGAGGAGGTGTCTGACTCTTTTAAACAGCCAGCTCTCCTGTGAACTAACAGAGTCAGAACCTGCTCGCTCTCCTGAGAAAGGCACCAAACCATTCAGGGGGAATCTACTCTAGGATCCAACACTTGTCACATTTTAACATGAGATTTAGAGGGGACAACCATCCAAGTTACTTCACAGAACTTGAGTAATTTTCAAGTATTCTGGTGTCAGATGTCACTGACACCATGTAAGAAATAGTGATAACAAAGTAGGGCCCTGGTCTTGTGAGGCGTCAGATCCAGCCACCTCCATCCTCTGGCCAGCCTCCTCCCAGGACCTCCCTGTCTTCCACTCCTGCCCTCCAGTGGCTGTGATGTTCCAGCCACCCCTATGTGACTCACAGGGTCCTTGCTGCCTCCACTCCCCTTACAGGAGCCACCAGACCTGCCGCTGCCCCGCTGAACCATAGGCCAGGCCACTTGAGCCCAGTGTTGCTGTCCACTCTCTCCTGGAGAGTGAATGCTACAACTATCATTGCCAGGAGAACATTCGATGACAGTCTCCTGAGCCACAGTGAGCGCCCCAGGGGGTGTCCAAGGGCTCACGGATAGAACTCTTCTGCCCAATACCAAGAAAGTTGCCCTGAGCATGACAGTCTATGTCCACACAGGAAGGCAGCTGGACAAGATGCAGAAGGAGTGCCAAATCCTCCTTGGCAGGCAGTAGAGGTGACAGGCAAGTCCACAGGGGTAGCCAGAAGCACCCAGCATGGGACAGAGCAGGGTGGCCACCCACACACCATGCTGAGCCCCTGCTGCAGCAAGGAAGAAGGTGC